TTCGTCTTCCAAAATTCCATTGTTCTCCAAAGTTTCAATTATATCTTCTGCGTCTCCAGTTTCAGGTCCGAATTCGATTTCATCTTCATAATCAGAATTGTCATCCACATCATCATCGGACTCTAGACTATTCGGAATCGATATTTCGCAATCATCGATTTCATCAGAATTTATTTCCATTCCAAATTTTGAGGCATCTTCCAGCGCAAACCGTTTCGCCCGGTTTAAGCACTCACCAATTTCCTCTTCCGTTGGAAGTGCGTACATTGTGGTTGTTTTGCGCTTCTTTTCGAGCTTCGGCAGTCTAATGTCCAAATTGGATAATTTTGTGTAGATGATGTCGTTCTGCACTTCCAGTCTTTTGACCAAATGTATCAACTCCAATAAAGTAAAATTGATCTTGGTGTAATTCGGAGTCCCCATGGAGCGAAACTGCCTAAAGGCCCTTTCACAACCTTGGCTATCAAAAAGTGTTGTTATGAAGAGCTCTGGTTTGTTTTCGTTGCGAAATGTTCGAATTAATTTCAACAAATTTGCACCATTCAATTCAGTGCATAAGTATGCATTGGGCGTGATGAAATTTTCTCGCAAAATATATTTCGATTTTAATATCCATTTTCTCCAAATTCTCAGAAAGAAAATTGCATGGAAAAGCATTTCGATTCTCTCATAAGGCGTAATGTCTTGGTCCATTAAACTTGCGGTGACTTCATAACACAATTGCAAGAAGAGCTGTGTTGCTTCGCTGTCTGGCACGAATCTGTGTAACGCGTTGCGAGTTCGGATGCTCATACATTTCTCCAGGGACTTGAAATTTTGACGGTCGACAGGTTATTATCAGAGAAAACAAGGCCGTGCACGCTTTTCGGAGCTTCACGAATCAAAAGTTTTAAATGAGCTACCGAAGCAAGTCTGTTGCCCATTGGCAACGCAGCGTACGACCTCAGGAAACATGTACGAAATTTCAAACCACCATGTTGAGGGTCTTGCATGTAGCATATTTGATTCAATTTGTGATGCATTTGGTGTCGCATGGCTGCCAACAATCTGGCATCACCGTCGGAAGAAAATCCACGAACTGTGATACCGTACCTTGAAAACAAAATTATGAATAGTTGTAATAAATATTTGCTTAAAGTATTCATGAGTTTTAAGGAACATTTAAACTGACACAACCAAATTGTTTGCTTTCAAACTTTGTCTCGATCACACCAACTGTCACACTGACTCGGTCGTGTATGAATTGCTATTAGCGTAAAAGAGATGTTGTTCTCAGTAAACTCAGTTTAAATGTTCTTTAAGAAGTACCGTTTCAGCTCATTGGTAGTGTGATTCCATCTTTTTACCACATTCCGAGTCTTAAAACGATTATCTGTCCCGAAGAGTTGTAAAACAAAGGGTGCCACTCCTTCTTTTAATGGTACAGCCAAAACGAGATAAATATGAGTTGATTTAGTCATGCGGCAGAATTGTCTGATTTCTTCTTCATCACGGGTCGTAAATTCATACATTTTTGGGCAGCCTGTATAGTCATCATACGGCAATGTCATTCCGACCAATTGATTGTTGGTTGGGTCGTATAATATTTTTGGAATAATTCCGGATCCATCTTCGCAAATCCAAATGTCTTTTCCACCTCCAACATTGAGCAAATATTCGGCCAATTCTTTCGATCGAAGTTTTCCTTCCGAAATGCATTCTTTGGTGTCATTTATGCAACGCACTGAAAGAGACGTTCAAATTGAAATTTGAATAGAAAACATATTCAAACAAATACAAAAATAATATTAAAGCTAGTATTGAAGTCAATTAACTTACGAATCGTTTTTGTAGAGGGAATCGGAAGATTTTTATTTAATGTTTCATAACAAGCCCTTCCGCAGAGTAAAAATATGTATGTGGCGAAATATTTTACGATGTCATTATATTGAAATGCGTGCTTAGATTTATTCAGATTTTGTTGAGCAGTTTTCATTAGTTCCTTCAAAATCAGAGAGTATTCGGTCGCTGTACCAAGCACAGTCTCAACCACTAAATCATCAGTACCATTAGCAGCATTCACTGTGTTTTGCGCTTGCATGTTTTCTATATGGGTTCGCAGGCTCAACAAAATGGAACGGTGGCCTGGAAGAAACTCGAAGTCTTCTTCTTTCCTGGCTTGTTCTTTATACCCACTCAGACTTTCATCTTTTTCACCAAAATCTTGCAGTTCGGACAATATTTCGAATATTATTTCACTCTTTTTCTTTTGTATATGTTTTTCCAAATCAGTAATTTTTTCACTCGAAATTTCTTTCACACTAATAATACAATCGTATCCAGTTTTCCAGAGTAACAATTTCAAAAACATTGGGACACGTAAGCCAACAAATTGTTCTAAATCGGCCCATTCACTCGTTATTTTTTCCATTTTTTTTCCTTTCTTTCAATTATTGAAATTGAATTGAAGAAAACCAATTTTCATAACAAAATTTGACTAAATCAAATGACAGCTGACATTCATTATCAAATGAACCGAGAAGATTCTGCATTATCGATAATTTATATACGTTTGTCAAATACAAATTGAATGTATGTGTAAGTGTCTAATATTGAGCTTTGAATTGTGGAATCACTGTATTCATAGGATTCAAAGAATTCATTGGATTCAAACTGGAATCACAGGTGTCTACCCCCTAGTTAAAAGGTCATTATATATGCTACAATCGATTTTTACAAAGTCAGAGTAATTTGAGTCTGAGAATGTGTAAACATTTACGATCGGTTGTTCGCTCTTTCGAGAGTTAACGTCTGTTGGTTGTTCTGATTCTGCCCGTCGCCGTTGGATGGGCCCTCGCAGTTTTCCGTCACGCGAACATTGTAGTTACCCTTGTTTTTGTTGTAGTTACCACGACCATTATAGTTCTTTTTGTAACCGCCATTTTTGCCATTGTTTTGATTGAAATTTTTGTTTCCGTTTTGATTATTCCACTTTTTACCGTTGTTGAAACGGCCATTGTTTTTACGAAAACCACCTTGGCGATTATATGCAAGAACTTGTTTCTCCTGCTCGTGAGTGCTTTCTCCAGTAATAAGTTTTGCAATGACTTCTTTTGGATCTTTGAATGAAGCCGCAGCTAAAACTGATCGAACTAAATCAGAGCGAGCGGATTGACGACACATTTTGACGGTACTTTCAATAGCCATTTCTTTCGCTTTTTCCAAACTTATACCCTCAAAAACCAATGAATGCTGTAAATCGTCAGCCAATTTCTCGGCTTCCTCAGCAAATTGCTGTGACGTGTTTTTGGACAGCTTTAACGCAAGCATTTTGCCGTTAATGACGCTTGTACTGTCCGGTTTTATTTTTTCTTTTAATGTCTTGATGATATTATCTAGCGTATCATTTTCATTAATATTATCGAGTGCTTTACCTTCCAATTTGGCAAAAACAAAATTTTTGAGCTGGGTAGCGAATTTATTTTCTGTGTCGATAGATTTTGCCAGATTGATCGCATTGATAAAAGCATTTAAAGCAAGTGGATCGCCAGAATAATTTCGATTTATTGCTGATGCGGCGAAGCGCAAATATTCAAGCAATGACATAGACGTGTGCAAGGTCAAAAGGTAAAACTTTAACTTTTTGTTGTGTTGCGTGTAAATAATATACAACAAACCGACGATTTTCAAAATGATTAAAACGTAGTTTTGGTAAATCAGCGTTGGATTTTCGACTGGCACTGCTTCTTCAAAAACCAAATTATTATTCACGCTGTGTCAACCGTTTTTGTATCAATATAATGTGGCTTACTTCCACCACCACCTATTGTCACTTTCAATACGATTTCACTGTATTTATTCGAAAATTTTCAGAGTTCTTTTTTTTGAAGAATTTTCTATGTGTTTAACTCGTGTCAAATGGGCCATATTCAGTAAGTAAGCTGCGTATAGGATTCATAGAGGCGCCATCTATCGCTGCGCTTTTGAACTCTTATGTATTCCATTGACTTCAATGATATATTGGGGAAAGATAGTGGCGCCACGCTTTATTCTCATGCTTTATTCGTGAAGTTTTAGAAGAAAGTTCATACGCTGTCATCAATGTATTTACATTGGTTGTATGGTCCCATTGACTCGTGTGGGCTACGGTGATGGCTTGCCGAGACCTCGCCATATAACAAGAAATGAAAGACCAGTGGTGTGCTCAACGCCGAAGGTCCTGCATCTAAGCGTCTGACAGCTCACTTCTAGCGCTACGAGACAAGTGTCAAAAGTTGTGACACAGATCGTTCAATGTATTATTGAATCTTTTTTATATTTGTTAACCTTTTGACTGTCTTTCCTGACATTTTTGTCAGTCGCTCCGAAAATCTTGAAAATAGTAATATTTTTAAATTATTTTTTGATGAAACTCTAGGTATGCTCATTTCGATCATTTTTTTTCTTAATTTCCAAAAAAAAGTGAAAAAATAAATTTATTTTCCTATGAAAACCCAACCCGAAGCAAAAAAAGTCATTTGCTGTCTTTCCTGACAAAAATGTCAATATATATTTAAACCAATAAATAAAGTTGAAAAAAAAGTTTTTGAGCAAAACGAAGAATACCACGTTGAAGAAAACGCTCTCGTGATCTCAAAACCATATTTCGTTTCATTGGGTTACGGTATGATTTAGTGCATTTTGGTTTTTTGAAAGATTTTTTGGAAAGCCACTGTTCTCTGAGCACATTTAAGGCTGTAACTTTTTTTGTAGAATAGCTATCACCAAAAACAAATTGCCTCTGAATAGTGGAATAAATTACCATTCAAACGCGCTATAAATTATTAGGATCGGTGCAGAAGTTAGAATTTTGTAGACCCTAAATATGAGGAGTGAACAATAAAACTAGTCTACTTCACTAAATACCGGGCTAAATATACACAAAATAGAGAAAAGTTTTTGCCAGTTTCAAAGTTTTATCATAAAGAGCATTGAATTTAGATAAATTAAGACATAGTTTGCTTGCTATACGTCCACTAACAAAGAGGTGACATGTGTACAAAAGCGCTCGCGCACGTCAAAAACCAAGAAAAATCCAAAACTGAATACAAGAAAATTTAATTAGAAGAAAAAAAAATTTGGTCGGTCGACCCCATTTTTTCAGTCACTCCATAAGGTTGCATGTAAAACTCAAAAATGAGACCAAAAATAGAGTGTTACGGGCAGAGCCATATCGTATGGCCTGAGTAATATTTTCGAACATGTTGAGTAGTTTTGGAAAGAGGAAGGTTGCTCGCATCTTTTCATCTAATATTCCGAAGTTCTAGCTCTGACCGTTTAAAAAATATAAGATTTTGAAAAGTGTGAAAAAAAAGTTAAGATTTTTCAACTTTGGAGGCATCTGTGGAACGAGCTGGTGAAAAATGTCAATACTATATAATATTCTTTGGTAGCTACATTCATTCTCTTTCCAAAAAGCCTATATTTATCAAAATCGGTTAACAAATGTGGAAATTATAGGCGAAAAACAAAATGGGACATATGTGTCCCAAAGGTCGTCAAAGGGTTAAACGGGCCATCGGATTAAAAAGATTTAAACATGTTTTTTGCTATATCTCGCGAACCTCCCAACCGATTTTGATAAATAGGGTACCAAAATTATTGGAAAGGTCTCACCTTTCAAGTAATGTAGGTTTCTATCATAATTTTAGAGCTCTAAACCAAATTTCACTGTGATATGTTGATAGGCGCTACCTTAGACCTACCAAAATCGATAACTTTCTTATTCACACGTCATTCGGAAAAAGTAATGATGCAGAAATGATTGTTTTGAGGTCCTCTAAAATCGTGCATTCAAAACCCCAATGTGCAAAACAACAACTTTTATTTTGTCACACGGTGTATTCAAGCATTTCACTTTCGGCTCTCTAAATGAATTCATTAGGATGATTTTATTCCGCATTTTGATTTTTGAGATGACAATGATTTTTGGGGTGGCTGAAAAAATTCGTGGGGTGGCGAAACCACCCCACGCACCCGTCTAGCTACGGGCCTGAAATGACG